GGACGATCCAGGCATCCCCGGAACGCTCTCGGCGAGGCGCGGCTGCTGGAGAGCATCCCGAGGCTGAAAGGCCGCCGAGGTCCGACGAAGACGGCCCAAAAAGCCTGGAAGTTCGAGAGATCCCGAAGCCGTGGGAGTGGACACGCTCTTGCGGTGGATACCTCTGCGCGCGCAACCAGCGAAAGCTTCGGGGCCCCAAAAGACCGTGTGGTGACAGACCGCGTGGTGACCTCGGAGTCCCCAACGACCTCACTGCGCGGTCCGTCACCGCACGGCTTTGGGACCTCGGAGGCCCCAGTCGCCCGAGGCGTCCTCGGAGAACGACCCGGGTCCCAAAGTTGAGCGCTGCGTCATCGCACGATCTTGGGGCCTCGGAGGCCCCAGGTCGCCCGAGGCGTCGCCGGAGAACGAACGACCCGAGCCTCAAAAGAGCGCGGTGGCCCCGAGCCCCCCACCGACTCACCACGCGGCGTGGTCACCGCACCGGCTGGGGGCCTTCGGAAACGGAGGCCTCCCACACGAGGTCTGAGCAGGTGGGGTCGGAGGAGCGCGCCGCATCGCCGATGCATCGTCAACGTCGGCGATGCCTCTGCGACGTCGGCGCGGAGAGATCGGGCTCCACCTCGAGCGGCATCGCCGATCTGCGATGCGGCGCGATCCTCCGATCGGGGGGAGGGACAACGGGGGCGCGAGGGCCGCGGCGCAGTGTCGAAACGTCCTGACCTGCCTATAGGCACACCATAGAATCTGATACGAACCTTGTGTGGTCTGCAAGGGATGGGCTTACGCATTTCTGGTTGGCACTGCCTTGTTTGAACACATCGGCTTATGCATGCTCTAAGAACGTCGTTCCCCAAACAGTGCTTGCACGTATGGGTTTTGACTTCTTTCTGACACCCGACATGGGTAAAGAACAAATGGGTACAATGCCCAACAACACATATTGCCCCAAACCAACAGCGGATGCTGTTGGGCAGGCGGTTGTCGGTCCCAGATGGACACAATCCGCGGCGACACCGACAGCCAGTCCTGCACAAAATGACCAGGAACTGCCGTTGGTCTTTGTACCCGTTCTTTCCGTATTCCTCGGTGGCAACCCGCGGGAGCCTCTCATGCCATCTTGTTGGCTCTTGCGAATCGGCGCTAATCGACGCCAGTCGACGCTAATCGACGCCAGGTCGACGCTAATCAAGGCTAACCGACGCTAAATCGGCGCTATCTCATCCCCTCCCAGACACTAGTCGACGCTAATCGACGCTAAAGACTTGATTAAAGAGGTATACCAAACCCCCATGATTTGCTACCGCATTGTATCCATTCTTTCCCTGTCCGTTTCGAACGTCCCGAAGACTGGCCGGCTCATTGCCGCCCGTCGCCGCCCGTCGCCGACGCCGCCGCCGCCGGCAGAACTGAGCCCCAGCGGCGGTCTGGCCGGCTCGCCTCCGCCCGTCGCCGCCCGTCGCCGCTTGCTCTGCACTGCTCTGCACTGCTCTGCACTGCTCTGCATCGCAAGGCACTGCGTTGCATTGCTTCGCATGGCAATCGCATTGCGATCGCAGTGCATTACAATCGCATTACCTTCCTCTGCATTGCTTTTAGACTGTTGTTGCCTCACTTTGTACTACCTTGCATGCCCATCACAGTGCAACCGCATTGCATTGCATTGCATTGTTTAGCATTGCTGCGTTGCTGTTGCATTGCAATCGCATTGCAATCGTATTGCATTGCTTCGCGTTGCTTCGCACTGAGTCGCATTACTTTGCATTGCTTCGCGTTGCGTTGCATTGCTTCGCATTGCTTTCCGTTGCTTTGCCTTTGCTTGCGTTGCTCTGCATTGCTTCGCTTTGCAGTGCTCTGCATTTGCTTGCGTTGCTTTGCGTTGCTTTGCATTGCTCTGCATTTATTTGCGTCACTTTGCATGGCGTTGCACTGCTCTGCCTTGCCTTGCACCACTTTGCGTCACCTTGCAACGAGCGCACTGCACCACATGGCAGGCACCACCTGGATTGCACCACATGGATTCGCTCTCTTCTGAAGCAAGAGTCAGCTCTGACGAGCGTGCAGAGCGGATTCATCCAAAAACGTTTTCTTTCGCAGGGTCGCGCGGACCGCTGCCAACAAACCGTTTCCCGTTTGCCAAGGGCGGCAAAAGCGGCGAGCCCCGAGCAAAAGCGGCGGGCCTGCTCCGCGCCGCCGCCCCCGCCGCAGACCTCGCCAGCGGCCCCCGCTGGCTCCGGAGGCGGGGCGGCGTGGGCGGGCCTCGCCTCGCGGGAGCCGCCCGCCGCCGCCGCTCGCCGCCGCCGCTCGCCGCCGCCGCTCGCCACCGCCGCAGCACGCCGTCCGCCGCACGGCGGTCGCCGCGGCGGCGGCCTCTCCTTCTCCTCCTCCTCCTCCTCCTCTCCTCCTCCTCCTCCTCCTCCTCCTCCTCCTCCTCCTCCTCCTCCCTCCCGCCTCCTCCTCCTCCCCCCTTCTTCCTCCCCTCCTCCTCCTCCTCCTCGTTCTCCTCCTCTCTCTCTTTCTCCTCTCCTCCTCCTCGTTCTCCTCCTCCTCCTTCTCCTCCTCCTCCTCATCCTCCTCCGTTTTCTCTCCTCCGCCTGCTTGCCCTCCTCCTCCTCCTCCTCCTCCTCCTCCTCCTCCTCCTCTCTTCCCCTACCTCTACCCTCCTCCTCCTCATGCTCTTCCTCTCTTCCCCCTCCTCCTCGACCTCCTCCACCTCCTCCCCCCTCATCGTCCCTCTCCTCCCCCTGCCTCTCATCATCGTCAAAATCACCACCACCAGCAGCAGCAGCATCATCAGCATCATCATCATCATCATCATCATCATCATCATCATCATCATCATCATCATCAGCATCATCATCATCATCATCACCACCACCACCACCACCACCATCATCATCATCATCAGCAGCAGCAGCATCATCATCAGCATCATCAGCATCAGTATCGTCATTATCATCACCACCACCACCACCACCACCACCACCATCATCATCATCATCATCATCATCATCATCATCATCATCATCATCATCATTATCAGCATCATCATTATCAGCATCGTCATCATCATCATCATCATCATCATCAGCATCATCATCATCATCATCATCATCATCATAATCATCATCATCATCACCATCATCATCATCATCATCATCATCATCATCCGCACCAGCATCATCATCAGCATCATCATCAGCATTATCGTCATCATCCGCATCATCATCCTCACCACCACCCTCATAATCATCATCAGCAGCAGCGGCAGCAGCATCAACATCATCATCATCAGCAGCAGCATCATCGTAATTGCCTTCGTCATCGTCATCGTCATCGTCCTTAGCACAAGCACAATCATCAGCAGTACAATCACCATCATCAGCAGAACAAATCATCATCAGCATCGTCATCCTCATCATCGTCATCATCGCCATGTGTATCATCATCATCATCATCATCATCATCGTCATCATCATCATCAGCATCATCATCAGCATCATCATCAGCATCAGCATCAGCATCAGCATTACCATAACGACCGTCATCGACATCATCATCGTCGCCATCACAATCACCATCGCCATCATCATCATCATCATCATCATCACCACCACCATCAGTATCATGAGCATGATCATCATAATCGTCATCGTCATCGTCATCGTCATAACCATCAGAACACGCAGAACAATCACAATCAGAACCTCAAAATCACAATCAGAACAAGCAGCAACATCAGCAACAACACCGTCAGAACAATCGCAATCACCGTCACCATCAGCATCATCATAATCAGAATCAGCATCATCATCATAAAATTCAACATCGTCATCTTCATAACTTGCAGAAACACCACCATCAGCAGCATCATCACAATCAACAGCATCATCATCATTATCAGCATCTTCATCATAATCGTCGTCAGCATCATCAGCATCATCATCGTCATCGTCATCGCCATCATCATCATTATCACCATCGTCATCAACCTTGTCATCGGCATCGCCACCATCATCCTCGTCATGATGATCATCATCAGCACCAACATCATCATCACCGTCGCTATCATAACCGCCATCGCCATCATCATCAACATCATCACCATGGGCAGCATAATCATCATCGTGATCATTATTATCATCATCGTCATCACCATCAGCAGAACAATCACGATCACTTTCATCATCATCATCACCATCATCAGCAGCAGCATCCTCATCGTCATCGTCGTCGTCGCCATCACCATTACCATCATCACCATCATTATCACCACCATCATCACAACAATCATCGTCACCATAACCATCATCATCATCATCATCATCAGTGCCCCCAAATGCCACATCATCATCACCACCATCACCATCGCCATCATCATCACGATCAGCGTTACCATCATCATCCCCATCGCCACCACTACCATCATCATCATCATCATCATCACCATCACCATCACCATCACCATCACCATCATCATTATCATCATCATCATCATCATCATCATCATCATCATCATCATTATCATAATCAAATCCATCATCACCATCAACATCACCAGCGCCATCATCGTCATCATCAGCAGAAGCAGTGTCACCATCATCATCATCATCATCATCATCATCATCATCATCATCATCATCATCGTGCTCATCGTCGTCGTTGCCACCACCACCATCACAATCACCATCATCAGGACCACCATAGGCATCATTACCATCACCATCACCATCACCATCACCATCGACGCCATCAACATCGATGGTCCTCGCACGTAGCTCGGAATGATGTCCAATAGTTGCACATGAACCTCTGGCATTTGCTGTGCTAGCTGCGCTCTGGCAGCTCTGGCATAGTTCACGAGATCACCCAGCTCACGTGCTGGGGCGTTCTTCGCCCCCCCCCCCCCCCCCTATGGTCCTCCTCCTCCCCTCCTCCCTTCCCCTTCTCCCCCCCTCCTTCGGGAGGCCCGCGGGGCCTCGCCGCCGCAGATCAGTCTCCTCAGCGCCTCGGCCGACCTGTCCGGGTCCCAGGTCTGGGCCTGCGGCGCCGGGGGAGGAGGGAGAGGGGGAGGAGGGGGACAAGAAGGAGGCCACGGAGGTGAAGGAGGAGGAGGAGAGGCCCCTCCTTTTCTCCCTCCTCAACTCTCTCCTCCTTTCTCGCTCCTCCTAGCCCCTCCCTCCTCCCGTTTCCTCGTCGTCCTCCCCATCGTCGTCCACATTGTCCTCCTCTTCATTCGCATCCTTATCCTCCTTTTGCTCATCTCCATCACCCTGTTCATCACCACTGTCATCATCATCATCATCATCATCATCATCATCATCATCATCATCATCATCATCATCATCATCATCATCATCATCATCATCATCATCATCACCATCATAACAATCACCATCATCATCATCATCATCATCATCATCATCATCGTCATCATCATCAGCAGCATCATCATCGTCGTCATACTCATGATCTCAATCCCCATCCTCATCCTCACCATCATCACCACCACCACCACCATCATCATAGTCATCATAAGCATCGCCATCGTCGTCATCGTCATCATCACCCTCTATGATCAACGTCATTCCTCCTCCTCCTCACCATCATCAGCAGCAGCAAAATCGTCATCATCGCCACCGTCATCGTCATTCTCATCGTCATCGTCATCATCGGCATCGCCATTTTTCATCATACTTGTCATCGCCACCATCGTCGTGCTCCAGATCCTGTTCCTTCCTCTTTTTTCCTCACCCGTCCATCCTTCCCCCATTCTACCTTCCTTCTCATCCCCCCTCCCCTTTCTTCATCATCCCTCCTCCGCTTTCACCTTTCCTCCTTTTCATCCCCTCTCCTTCTCACGTTCCTCCTATTCCTCCTCATCACTATCCTCTCTCCTCCCGCTCGTGTCCTCCTACAACTCTGCCAGCCCTCCTCCTTCAGTCCTGTTCCGTTTCCTAGTCTTCCTCCCTCCTCCTCCTCCTCCTCTCCTCCCTCCTCCTCCTTCCTCCTCCTCCTCCTCCTCCTCCTCCTCCCTCCTCCTCCTCCCTCGTCCTCCTCCTCCTCCTCCTCCCTCCTCCTCCTCCTCCCCCTCCTCCCTCCTCCTCCTCTCTCCTCCTCCCCTCCTCCTCCTCCTCCTCCTCCTCCTCCTCCTCCTCCTCCTCCTCTCCTCCTCCTCCTCCTCCTCCTCCTCCTCCTCCTCCTCCTCCTCCTCCTCCTCCTCCTCCCCTCCCCTCCTCCTCCCCCTCCCCCTCCCCCTCCCCTCCCCTCCCCCTCCCCCTCCCTCCTCCTCCTCCTCCTCCTCCTCTCTCCTCCTCCTCCTCCTCCTCCTCCTCCTCCTCCTCCTCCTCCTCGCCTCCTCCTCCTCCTCCTCCTCCTCCTCCTCCTCCTCCTCTCCTCCTCCTCCTCCTCCTCCTCCTCCTCCTCCTCCTCCTCCTCCTACTCCTCCTCCTCCTCCTCCTCCTCCTCCTCCTCCTCCTCCCCTCCTCCTCCTCTCCTCCTCCTCCTCTCCTCCTTCCTCCTCCTCCTCCTCCTCCTCCTCCCCCGTTTCACCAGCATCATCCTTCTCTTATCGCTACTCTCATAATTCCTTCTCCTCTTCCTCCACCCCCTCCTCGTTCCTTTCACCTCGCGCAGAAGGAGACGCAGGCAGGCAAAAAGACAAGCTACATGCATTCGAAAGGCAATCGGGAAAAGCAGGCGAATATCCTGGGGCTTGTTTGAAGAGCCCAAAGTTTCTAGATGGCACCGCCACCTTCCCTCGACGTGAGGAATATATCGACCTTGCTGGCGCGTGTGAGGAGGAGCCCTGGGGAGGTCGTCTCGGGTGGTCTCAGGAGACACTATTCCGTTCGAAACTCGCCAACCCGAGGTGAGTCGACCCAGACTAGAGGAGTCTACTTCCGAGGGTGGTGCGTACCCAGGCCCCCCCTTTTCCCTCAACTCGGGCGATTTTTTTTTTTTTCTTTTCCACCCCTGATCCCCAGAGCCACCCCTGAACGTACCTGGTGCAGCATTAGGAGCCACACTCCCTTCGCCGCTGCGCTGTGCAGCGGCACCCAAAAGGGGGCGATGACCGCGAGCATGCCAGCGGCCTCGCGGGCCGCCCTGGTGGCGCACGCCACGGGGCGGCTCCGAGGGCCCCGAAGCAACTGAAACATCATGCACAGCCAGAGAGGAGGAGGAGGGGGAGGAGGAAGAGAAAAATACAATCGCCTGGCTCCTCCAGGCATTGGCCACAATACGGTGCCTCCGAGCAGTGACCCTCAGACGAGCCTCAAAATGCTGCTCAACCGAGCCAGGGACGCCGAGACGACGGTTATTGTGGGACGCAACAAAAGCATCTATACAAACGGCAAACAGAACATTAGATGACATCGGAGACGGTGACAGCAGAAGGAAGGGGAGGAGCCAGGGAGAACCCTCAGGTAACCAAGACGACGAAATAAATAAGTGACCAAGCCAACGACGGAAGAGAGCAGCAAGACGAGGGCAACGACTGTAATGCTCGACAGAATCAAGATCCTGAGAACCATCATCTCGGCATCCCAACAGGCAACCAGCAGATCTGGCATGAAATCTACGCGAGGAACATAGACCACGGCACAAGAAACGATATATGCCTACCAACAGATATGGTTGGGTACTCTCGACTAGGACGAACGAGTTCAGGAAGAAACGATCCATCATCGGAAGAGTTAGCTGAGGGAACCAGGCCGAAATCCGACGATAGAGAATACTGCGGGCATCTTCACGAGGGCCAAAGTGCTTAAGACAGCGAGCGTATAGTAGGGCTTGGAGCTTGCGACTAGACTCATCAACACGCAACGGGATGCTCGTGTACCATTCATACAGTGTGCGCATATATGAAAGAAAGCTGGATTTCCACCAGCCGGTGCGAACCCGAACCATAATCACGTCATCGTCAAACTCGAGAGAAGATAGACGGGCGAACACTTCTAAAACAGCAGGGCGCCTCAAGATATACCTCAAGCATGTCGCTCGAGCCAGCGACGCCAGCTCAGGAAACTCAGCTGGAAGATTAAGCTGGCGAAGCTGTGTACACATCGCATAACTGAATGCATTCCTCGGCCCAGCTGTGAGAAACATGACCGACTCACGATAGGCGTGAAATAGCTGCTTGCTTATGGGGTTGAGCTGGAGAATAAAGCCAAGCACGGAAACACACATGACACGGAAAGCAACAGCAGCACGGGTAAGACCCAAGCCCAGGCGGCGAGAGGTCCCCACACGGAGTCTGAACTTACGAAGAGCCTCCGACCAAACCTCAGAGGATCCCCGAGGACCGATACACATCCCAAGATATTTGACACAGTGAAGCACTTGAAGCCGTTTGATGTCACCCTTCAGAACTTTGACGGAGGACCGAACCCAGGAGATCTCAAGATTCCCAACCAGGAGTAACTGACATTTGTGATAGTTAAGACGAAGCCCCGCAATACGTTCTAGGTCTTCCAACTTGTGAAAGACGGGCCCCAGCGATGTAAATATATCAGGAAGACCGAAGCAGAAATCGTCCGCATATGCCAGCGAGAGCGATATGTGAGACGCAAGCGATGCTTGGACCCATCTGAGCAAAGGGTCAGCCGCCAAGACAAAAAGAAGCATGCTGGATGGGCACCCTTGCTTCACTCCTCTTCCCATGCAAATCCTCCCATGCCTCTTCCCTCCCAGTGCAATAGTAGCATACTGAGCTTGATACAGCAACGTGAAGAACCGAATAACAGCGGAACTGATGCCCATGCGGGTAAGCACGTGCAGAAGCCATTGCGTCGCGAGCGAGGGGAACGCAGCACAGAAGTCGGTCATCAAGAGGCCAGCGTTGTCATGACCTCGTGCATATTGTTCTAACCCCCAGGCTTCTGCCTCGACAATGTTGGCTACCATGTCCCTGGCGTGCACACACTTCTGGGCAGGCGAGATGAGGGAAGAGGAATTGGCAGCAAGCGGGATCGACATAATACCCGCTAGGATTTTAATGTCAGTGTTGCTCATGCTAAGAGGACGGGTATCTTGCGGACGACGGGAGACACGAGGACCATCATCACGATCATCTGAGCCTTTCGGGAGGAACACCATAAGACTGCGACACATATCAGCTGGAAGAGATTCGACGGTGCCGTGAAAGAAACATAAGTAGGCATCGTAAAGGGCACGGCAAGCGGGTTCGGCTCGCCAAGCACGGTAAGGAATGCCATCAGGGCCAGGCATGCTGTGGCATCTGGCGCGAACGTAGTCAACAAAGGTAGGATAAGGAACCAGCCACTCCATTGGAAGCTCCTCGGGTAACGGCTGAATGTGAGCAGAGACCTGAGGCCAAAGGGATTCGTCAAGTTCACAAGGAGAGAACACTCCAGCCCAATGATCCCGAAGAACTTCCGCAGACCGCTCCAAAGAGACACAAGGCTCCCCAGACTCCTCATAGATACAAGACACGGCGGTACGGCTTCGAAATCTCCTCCAGAGTTCCTGAAAACGAAGAACACGGGCTTTCAAGTTCTGTTTCGTCGGCTCAGGTGCATCAGAACGCTCAATCTCCTCTTGTTCCTGGTCCAGGAGCTGCATCTGGATGCAACGAATCAGGGCGCAAAGGCCCCGAATATTCGTGCACTCGAGCGTGTGAACGTTAAAGTGAGAAGACAACGTGGGGTAACACTTGAGCGCAGAACCAATCATCCATCCCTTCCTCAACCTGACTCCCCTCAGTGCAAACATCGCCCAGTGATGTTTCAGCTCTAAAGACGTAGCGACAGTGACCTTCAAAAGCTCGCGGATTTGCTGGGCAGCCACAAACATAAGAGCTTTGATCGCCTCCAAGCGGTCCCACACGGAGAGATCCCTCGTGTGCGCATCAAATTCGACCACCAAGGCTTCAAGTAGGGAGGAGAAATCAGGATGTGCAGCGATGTGTTTGGGGATGGTGGGGAAGTCCTTGGCAGGAGTGAATGGCGACAGAGAGGCAAAGACAGGGATGTGGTCGCTCGGGGAGCGAGCTTGAAGGCGGCCAACAACACCACATCG